TCTACAAGTCTGAAGAAGCAAACGTAACCTCCTAGAGGCGGGCCAGCTCTCATATTGTAAAGTAGAGCCTTACTAACGTCAGCATTCATATGTACGAAAGTTTATTCTCTGTTTGTATGATCTGTGTGTCCTATAACACATCCACAAAATTGAGTAACTTGATAATGTGAGGCCTGTATCATTAGTAACAGTCTGGTCTTTCATGTAAACTGGCACGCCTCGTGTAACAGATTTATTAGAGAATAAATTACTATTATTTTAAACATGAAGCACAGAAAGTTAATGAATGTTAATCCTGCTTACCTTACAGAGTTGTAGGCAGTGAAACCACAGTGAGTTGTGATACCTTAAAATGTTCGTTAAACAGAAAATTTAATCTTTAAAATTAAGCATTTTTAGCAACAATTTCGGAGACTCTAAGCAAATTAGAGTTATCCTCCTTCGTTACCAGTTACACGAGTTTCTGAAATAGATTACCAAAAGACACTGAGTCAAGTTAATCATCATAATTCAAGTCTTTCTTAAGCTTCTATTTAAATCTATTTGTTGTTCATTAACCCGCTGTGCGTCATCTCTAGATTGGGGTACTTTTCACCAGAGACCGCTAAGCACCTAGCATTGTGACTAGATAAATGATTGGCAACCCATGCAAACACGACTAATTTACTACATAATAGTCAATCTCCTGATGAACTCAGGTTTCACAATTCCTAGTCCAAACATTACATGGTTTTTCCCCTAAATAATATATTTTTCATATAAATACCAAAGCAGACAGATATCCTCTTCGGTTTAGTCGTGAACTTCACAGAATGAAGCTCAGTTACCAGTGGTATCCCATTTTGTCTTATACTGCCTCGGACCATGATTCAGTAAAATATAATGCATTTTGGGCTTGGGTGGGTGGAAAACCTGAAACATTTGTTCATTGTACGAAAGGAACATTAACTGCTTTTAAAATAATATGGAGCTTTTCTTGTACATTTAATAATAATGTAGCGGTAAATAAATCCCCAAAATAAATAGCTCTGTAAGTTTTCGACATTGGATGCTGACCACATTCGTTTTAATGGACTCACCCGGCTAAAGGCGCTCGTTCATGCATCCGTACCAGATTACGAGTGGGAACGCCGTGTTCAACATCCCCTGCAATCGCTAACCAGATTAGATCAGTCGATTCACGATGTATTGGTAGCCTCTCAAATATATCTTCGAACCTCCTCGCTTCTATCTTTTGATTTCACTTGGTGGGTACAATTCATATTAGGTGTTACTGGGTAAAATGTCGTCCAACTTCAAATGCCTGTGGCATACTGAATAATGATTTATTCTCGAAATACAGTCTGCTATATGAGGCGTGCCAATTTACAGGAAAGATAAATTTGTTACGGGAGATACAATCTTCACTGTAATGAGATACTCAGTTAGTCTTATATTTTCTTATCAGTTTGGATATTTTTACAGTTTGCTGTCGTATCACTGCTTCTATTTTGTTACCTATGATGAGAATCTCCTCATTTTCATCCTTTTGTATTAACTTATAGTTTTTTGAGACCCCGATTTTGTCCTACGGTATAACTTGTTCCTGTATCGGTCTTTCCGCGGTCCATAAATCTCAACAATATGATATCCCTGTAACATTGTACTTATGAAAATGGTGTTCTCTGCTGGGGTGAGGGAAATAGAGCTGGGTGACTTATGTCACAGAGAGACAAACCATTACTTAAAAAAACTAACATCCAAAGGAGAAACATTGAAGTTACTGACTAGAAAATATTGATGATGAGGGAGATGATTTCAGTCGACACAGGTTAATCGTGTTAACATTCTGTTCGTCTCAGATATTTCATAACCGATCACACAGAAATGTGCCATACCTATCCCTGAATATGATATTTTAGTTTACAACAATTGCTGGCATAATGATATGATGGAAATTGAAGGCGTTTTAGGAAGATTCGCCAGAACTGTTTTGGGGTGTTCTGAAAATAAGGACTGTAACCAAAGACGTCATCAGGTCAAGTCAGAACCCCTCTAGTCCAGGCTCATTTAATCAAGCCTTTTATTTATATACCGGCTTATAAATTGTATTTCGTACTCTTCGGCATCTGCCCCTCCACACTTTATTATCATATCTCACAACCGACGCAACAAAGACAATATTACCACCTTAATCATTTTTAAAACCGATTTTTCTGATTGTGTATCATAACCATGCTTACCAACTTATTTACACATCTCATCCTTTTTTCATCCTTTCTCCCTGAAAGGTAGCCCAATATTCTTCAAAACACTATATAACTTGTTTAAACGCGGTGAATATTATGAAAACACTATTAAACATTGTGCATAATTGCATTTCTGAAGAAGCCTTCTCCGGTTTCCTCACAACACTTGTATCAATGAGTTGTTTGTTAATAATAGCGGTAATAATAATTGTAAGATAAATTTTGAATGCTTGGTGTGTGTGTGTGTGAAAATCCCTACATGTATATACCTGCATTTTGTTCTTATTGATCGCCTTAGTTGTACATTGTTAGTTTTTTGATTACATTTGAATTGTTAATATTTGTATTTTATCATAGTTTTTATTTTATTACATCTTCACTAAGTTTCCGTGTTTCTTCTCGAACTGCACTTATGTTGTTTTACTTTATACTTGGTCTTAGCGGCAGCCATATTGGTTTGTTCCTCCTTTTGATTGCGTTACCTGTGTTGACTGAAATTGTGCATTTTTGGTTGTGAATTGAGGCACTCTTCCAGAATTGAAAACGCTCTGTGTTATAAAGCGACCAAATATTATCTTTTAAAAGAATTTGTGCGTGGTCTATCCAGACAGGATAGAATAACATTTATTTGTTGTGATTGATTTGATCAACTAAACAATTATTGGTTGGATAGCTGAGTGGGCATATTTGTTTAGAATCGTCATTTTACCCGATTACCTCGTTTTGGTTTCAAACGGGCAAGGGCGCGTATCTAACCCACCTAGACAGCTATCCCTCAGTCCAAACCTTAGTTTGGATCTTACAACAACAGCTATTCCACGATATTAAGGTCGTTGCTTTGTGTTTGTTACCTCTGAGACTTTTGGCGAACCCCTCCAGAAGAGCTTATTCAAGATATAACGATACACAAGGTTACTCATAATATACAAAACTGAATTAACACTACAAACCTAAGTATTTGTTTATGAGCAAAGCAAAAGGTAACGAACCACAGTTATAATATAAATGGCATATTAAACAAAAAAACGATAACAGTTGTGAAGAAATAATGTCACGTGTAAGCCGCTCTTTGAGATAACAGCCACAAATGAGTTCACTTGGTTAACAAGGTTCATCTGAACGTGGTGGTACCAACGGCGTAATGAGAAAGATTAAATCCGATAGTATTGTTTAATAGTAGTCAGAGGCAAAACTTCAACATAGCGTAGGATGGCCTAAAAGGATGTTATAACACTATTACAATCTTCAGTCAAAGGCTGTGGCCAATAAAGCAGGAAAACAGACGGCGGAGGTAGCGTTTGTTCTTCAACAATCGCGGTAGTGTGTGCATATATAACCAGACAATTATATCCTCTTCTCTACCACCGACACAGAGAAACAATAGATATTGAATATAAATGTGGTTACAAACAAAGTGTGACAAATAAAGGAAAATGATGTCTTCGTTTTTTCGTCACAAAAACACTGAATATAGGTGTTACAATAGACTCTCTAGGGTGTTTAATTAGACAGTATTATTATTTCTTTTCTCATCTTTACTGTCTTTTATTTACGACTCGTCTAATCACAGTATTATACCTTTCAATCTTCTTTGAGTAATTCCATGGTTTTTGTAAAGACTTACGTTTAGTACTTATGTTGTTGTTGAATAATGTCGAGTCATTAGCGACAGAGATTTGTTTGACGGGATTCAAGTCCATGGCATGGCGCAGCCGACCACTCTTTTCTTTGATTGCCTTCTGAGAACGGTTATTCGAATCATTGTAGATAGGTATTTTTTTCCAATCTTGTTGGGGATACTCCTATAGATTCTCATGTACGAAGCGCTAGCTTATTAACCTCTGTTATTACTATAAAGTACGTTGTTTTGAGACATATTAAACTTTGATCTTACAGCACAGGCTGTATCATTTGAACCACTAAGCAATTTCGGTATAACTTTTTCCTTGAATTAGAATCCATTGCACTTATCTCAGTGTTATTATTGTGACATAGTTTAACACGAACTAATTAAATGAGCTTTGCATGCAATACAAGAGAACTTCGTTCGATTCAATCAAATCAACTTCGGTTTTTCGGCTCTTTGCTATCAGACCAAACGTTCAGATTTTGTTCGCTTCAAAGCTTTATTTCTGTTCCGAACAACTAAGTTTTGTCAACTACTGAGATTCGTTGGCCTCGCTGGTTCTCCTTTATCTTCCTTTCAGCACGAAGATTGGGTCTTTTTTAAAAACTTTAACTACATACTGTAAATGTCTGTTCGTCGCGTTCAGGACCTAAGCTAGACGCTGTGTTTTGACTGGCTTACTTCATATCTAAATAATCTATTTTTTAAGACTAGTGTTGACTTCACTTTTTCTCAGGCTACAAGATGAAAGCTACTATTCCGTTCATAAGCATTTGATCCATTTCAGATTCAGATTCGTTTAGTAAAGGCAGGAGGCCTACGGCCCATGGTGTTCCTTTTCTAGTATGCTTCTGTGAGTGTCCAGTCTTCTCTTGAATGAGTCAATTGAAATTGTGGACACCACTTCTTCGGGTAACAAATTTCAAGTATTGGAACTGTTTGATTGGTCCCTGGTGAAACCTTTAACCGATGAAATAATTTAAAACTGAGGCTAACCTCACACTTAATCTACGTTGTTCTACTCTTTTTATTGTTAAACGAACGGTAAATTCTTGGACATTAAAATTTGTTATAATCCACTAAGGATCTAAGCTGCACACAAACAGTAAAGCGGACTGTTGGATAATCTGCTGGGAATATACGTCATGCCGGCTGAGAAAATTACACATTGTGGAAGTGACCGCAAAATCGAAGAGCACAGTTTGCAAGCAGGTCAGCTTAGTATCTCCACTTTGCCTATTGCTCCGGGTTACTTTCAGTTTACCCGACTTTTGACGCTTGTGCATGACCAATTGGTCATGCACATATTAATATGGTATTTTTTCCCCTCTTCATTTTGCCTGTAGGGTATTCACGTTATTCTCAGACATTAAGCTTACCCATGGCATGGGATGGCCATGCAATCACATGAAAGCCGATTGTCAAGTTGTTGGTCAGTGTCTTATATGATATCATAAGAATACTATATACTACTATATAGTATTTCAGAAAATAAATTATGATAGCTCCGTAGTAGTGTGATAAAAATCCACAATAATATACTTTCTTTTGGAATAACCACCAAACGGAACAACGTCTTGGGAACATGCGTATAAAATTTTTAATTCGAGTTTGTGGTCTTAGTCATTGAAAAAGTAAGGCCTGGTACAAATATACTCTGGTCTGGGGCGAGCTGCGCTTAACGTGTCGTAAAGTTTATGTGAAATATTACACTGGTTTTATATGTAGTAATCAATACACCCTTACACTCCGTGTACATGTATAGGTTAGCTGGGTGGTAGCTATGATTGTAAGAGCAGTCACCACTTCCATCTTGACAATTCTAGGTTAGTAAATATGAACTCATATTCAGTCTCAACCCATTGTGAGTCTGCCGAAGAGATCTTATAGTTATTGGTGTGTAAGCTCGAAACAAATACCACTATACTTATTAAAACTTCACAATCGTTGTTTCTTGCAAATATTTACATAAACTTTGAGCAGAAAACAGGTTAAGATAGTATTTCTAGTCATGTGAAAATATAATAAACACCTAATGGAACTCCAATTTAGGTAATTGGTTGTTTTTCTACGAATCTATGTATCGATGTTTATTCCATATGATATATCCCCCTCAATGATTTTTACGATTCCTTATAAGTCGTAGACTTTTCCTAGGGATTCACCACCAAAAGTAGTTTTGATTGTATTTTTTCATGTATGATGAATTTATCGTAATAAAGTAGATGTTAAGTGTTTTCCATTAGATTCGATAAAAGTATCACTGGTGCAATCTTGTTTTCAATACTGAGCGTTCTACTGGTATTTCAAAATATTCAACACCATTCTACCTTTTAAACTGCTAGTCACAATATTTTTACTAGCCCAATAACCAGTTGTATACATAATCTGTTAATTACATCATAAATCTTTGTAGGTTAATTTGTCATCAATTTATACCTTCTAAGTCGTTAGGTAATTAGCTAAAACAGACTTCAAGTTTCCGCGCCACCCCATTTATTCCTGTTTTATCACCCGAATAGCTTCACCATCCGTCAGTACAACTCGAAAGTCCAAATATCCTCTGTTTTAAACTGCCGTTCGAGACTGCAATATTATCATTAAATAACTATTATATAACTCGGTTGCCTTCATTTCGATGTTGTTTGGCGTAGGCACTACCAAGCCAAAACGTGATATCAGTCCATGAAGTCACTGACTATTGAATTAGTCTGTATTGATAGGTGTAGACTGTTTAGGGTCCTCGGATTTATTGTAACTAACTGTTTAATATGAAGTTCAGTAATAATAAACGTAGAATTCGGCGTATGCGTGCATCGGTCAAAGTTTTCACAACACATCTCACCGATATGAGACTATCACGATGAATCTTGAGATAACAGAAGTAATAACTATCAGTGATAGCAGAAGAGATCAGACAAATGCAGTACGATTCCAAAGCAATGAGTTTGTGGTTTAAAAAGGGCCACCGAACGCCCTGGTACGGCCGAGAGTGGGGAGAGTCAGCTATCCCTCTCGAAATGCTCTCACATGGCCACGTGCATACAACCACTGCTAGGGAAGTCCTACTCACTACCTCGTGGCGGGGTTGTTGATTACGAACTTGAGAGAATAGAAAGCGAATGTCTGGCGTTTTAATCGGGTTGGTGAATACGGAGAGTCCACCTAGGGGAGTTAGAAAACCCTAATTCCAAACTGTTGGTGCACATAGTCTCCAGTATCCCGAAAGAACAAATAGTGTATGAATCAATTGTTGGTCACCGGCTACCGTGGGACTGCATCTCTTGATGTTGCTCCAGTGCCTTGTGGATCAGACCTTCAGGTCAAAGGCTCCGGGAGTGACCCCTTAAGAAAACCACCTGCTTCGTTTTGTGTACTCGGGCAGTATCTTAGCCCTCATACATATCGAATGATTTGTGTGGTGCATATCAATTTTGTGCCACCTTGTACAAATGTTTGTGTTTAAATAAAAAAATAATGTAAAAGATTTGATGAGGAGATAAGGAGTGATTTTAATTGCTCCATTGTAACCATTTTTGGAACATGTCACCCAACGTTACTATTATCCTAAGAAACCCAACGGGTTAGTCTCTACCAGGACAGCTCATTTCAGCAGTCAATAACTCGACTGGTGCCACTTTGTGATTTGACTGCGCCTAGCTTTCCAACTTATGCACCAGCAAACATCGCGGATCTAGGTAGGCAGTAGTTAGGCATACAAAATACATTTCTCAACCACCACATTCTGTAATTTTGATCATCCATTGAGCTACTGTTTCGCAACTTCAGTACTGTGAACAAGACAATTTCTGTCTTTTTCATTGCCTCAATAACTAGAGTAAAAGGTTCAGTTTCCTGATGGGGCTTTGTTGATTAAAACCTTGGTAAGACTAAAAATACACTTATGTTAAGCAGTTGAAGTTGACCATATATTCACCTTGAATCAACATTGATATTCTTCCCCATAAGTTGTATTCGGTTGTTCCATATTCCTAGTAGACTCACCACCCCACAAACCGATTTTCTATCTTCACCTAGTGCCCTGCATCTAACCTCAGAATTACTAACTTGATGATCAGGAATGGAATATTCCAAATTTGTCTATTTATTTGAACATAAATATTGGTACAAAGGGACACCAAATACATATGCGCCACACAATAACAATGAGAATGTGAGGAGATAGAGAATGTAAAGTGCGTATAATAAAAAGGAAAACAACAACGAACAGAAATTAGTGTATGAGAGAGATAATAAACATGGCAGATGAAGTTCAGCTAGCAAAAGTATGAACAGAAGGAATAGTTTCAGTTAAAGTTATTCCTTTTTATGAAGAAAGTAAAAGAAAGTTACAGCATGATCGCCACTGGCTTCTATTCTGAGCCATATCTGATAACGTCTCTAGCCACTGTGTAGCACCATCTCTCAGACCCCAACCAGGGAGTCGTGAAGGACCAACACAAGCCAGTCCTTTGCAGCTTTCTTTCATGCCACGACACCATGTCATGCACTGACCACCTCTCCGCTTCTTCCAACCAGTCCCAGAGTCGGCAAATAATGCACGACGTGGAATTCTCTGGGACGACATCCGTAGAACATGTCCAAGCCACCGAAGTCGGTGTTTCAAGATGGTGACACCAATTGAATTGTCGTCTCTGTGCCCGAACACACGATGCCGAACCTCTGCATTACCAACACGGTGTTGCCACTGGATGTCAGCAATCCTTCGGAGACAGCGATGATCGAACACAGAGAGTCGTCTAACGTCCTCAACTCGGAGAGACCAGGTTTCACAAGCATAGAGAAAAACTGCTCTCACCGACGCGTTGTAAATCCAACCTTTTACGGCCAGACTAACGTCACGAAGGCGCCAAAGATGGCCCAGATTGGCATAAGCCGCTCTGGCTTTCACTATACATGCATTAATCTCATCACTCACACCCCCACCAGCACTTATGCAGCTACCCAGATACACGAACTTCTCGACTATTTCTATCTGCTCACCATCCAGGGTGAGTACAGGATTAGGATCCTGTCAGTCTTGTAGAAGTACTTTGCATTTCGAAGGTGCAAAGCACATACCATACCTACGGACACTGATTGCCAACTGATTAAGTGCGGATTGCATGGCTTGAGCATTATCGCACAGTAAGATAATATCGTCCGCATACTCAAGGTCAAGAAGTCTTTCTCCAGTCAACAGATCCACACCGCCATTACTTACATCCATCAGAGCTGTTTCCAGAATGTCATCGATGGCAAAGTTGGAGAGGAATGATGAGATTGGGCAACCCTGCCTAACCCCACTGCTCGAATAGAACAATGGAGAAAGGTGGTTGTATGCCCTCACTCTGCCTGAGGTGTTTATATATAGGGCTTTTAGGATGTTAATAAACTTCTCAGGCACACCCTTCTTCAATAGACAATCCCAGAGAACAGTCCTATCCAGCGAATCGAAGGCAGCCCTGATGTCAAGAAACACTACGATTGTTGGCCTTTGATAAGTATGACGGTGTTCTAACATTTGGCGGAGGGTGAAGATATGATCAATACATCCTCGACCAGAACGAAAACCAGCCTGCTCCTCGCGAGTCAATCTTTCTCGGGTTTTGAACAACCTACGAAGTATGACGGAAGCCAATAGCTTGGACGCAATCGGAAGTAGACTTATCCCCCGATAGTTGTTACAGGAACGACGTGAACCCTTTTTAAAGATAGGGACAGCTATCAACTCATTCCATGACGTTGGTACACTCTCTAGTTCCCAAACCTTTATAAACAACGTCGTCAATTCCTTAGTCAAAAAGTCACTACCATCTTTAAAAAGAGCCGGAGGTAAGTCATCTGGGCCAGGTGATTTGTAACGCTTCAAGAGTTGGAGTTCCTTGCGGACTTCCTCCTCATTTGGTGGATCATTCGTCACCGGCCATGGAGGGCAGGACAGTCTGACCGATGTTGCCGGAGCAGCAGGCCAGTTGAACTGCCCTTCGAAAAATTCTGCCCATCGTCCAAGACGTCGATGGATGTTAGTGATTGGCATCCCATCATCCTCGCAGATTGTTTCGCTCACACCAGACTTCTTGCTGACAGTGGCTCGGATGAGCTGGAAGAGCTTCCGGTAATTACCAGATGCAGCTGCTGCTTCCAGCTCATTAGCACTCTCCGACCACCAGGCTTCTCGGTCCTTACGCAAGCTTTACCCATTTTCACTACGTAACAACCTTCGTTTGTGGTCAAACTCACGGTTATTCGGAGTAGACTGACGGGCTTCAATGAGATGTAAGGAACCTGCAGAAACCCAGTGCTTAAAAGCGGGACGTTTCGCAAACCCACAACTGACTGTACCCGCCATTTTCATGGCGTCATGCAATTGCAACCAATGCTCATCTATACTTTTCGGTGGAATGGTAGCTAGCCTAGAAACTAGCTCGTTTCGATACTTACTAGCAACAGAAGTTGCAGCCAGCTTGCTAACATCAATCCGTTGGTGGCGGTCACTTCGTTGGCCACTAAAAAGTAAGGTAAGATTGGCGCAGACTAAGGCATGGTCAGAGTCCAGATAGGTACTCCAAAAGGAGCGGCAGTCTTGTACACAACCACGCCAGCGGTAGCTGATCGCGGTGTGATCGATCTGAGTCCAGGCTTGAGATGCAGAGGGAGGACGCCATGTGGCACATCGGTGATGACTGTGCCGAAAGTTAGTGTTAGCCAGAAACAGGTTGTGGTCTGTGCAAAGTTGCAGTAGACGGTCCCCGTTATCTGACCTGCGACCAACGAGTCCCCATCGGCCACCTAAACGACTCTCTTCTGTGCCTAGACGCCCGACCTGAGCATTCAAGTCTCCGGCTAGTACTACAATATCTGTCGAACGCACTTTCTTGAGAACAGATAATTGGTGGTAGAATTCATTCTTGATTGCATCCGGGCTGCAATCTGTCGGGGCATAGGCGGAAACGACGTAAAGACATCGTATCCCACACCGATTTCCTCTCACTTTGATAGAACTTCCTAATCTAACAGCACATAACCGACTGTTAATGGGGATCCAATCGATTAGTGCTGCCTCAGCTCTAGCGCTTAGTGCGACATCAACGCCAGCAACACCAGACGAAGATGCCACAGGGTCCCCGGATAAGCGCACCTAAAACAAGTTTTTCGAAGCGACAGATGGAGATCGAATTTGTAGTACTTCGCCAGAGTCTTGAATACGGGTCTCGGATAGACAGCAGACATCGATATTAAGACTTTCTAAAGACATAGCCAGCCCTATCTGTTGTCCGACCTGCATAAATGTGCAAACGTTGAAGGCAGCCAGTTTGAATGGTGCACGTGGTTTCAGAAAAACTGCTTCAGTACTCATATTCGGTAGTAACATACAATTTTCAACCGGACAGTGACTCGAGAACGTTTAGATACAGTTGAATTTGCACCATAGACGAGCTGCTGTATAAGTCGAAAAAAAATAAGTATAGACAGAGTAGGAATAAAAGAGGGTGAATAGTGACGTAGTAAATAATAATAATAATAATAATAGAATCATTTGAATGTTCGTCGAAGCAAGAGAATTAGTTTCCATGATCATAGACAGTTCAGTTCATTAGTTGCGTGTGGGCTGCGATACTGCCCGGGTGCCCAGACCGAATCAGGTGGTTATCTTAGGGGGGCACACCCCGAGCCTTTGACCTAAAGGTCTAACCCACAAGGCAGTAGAGCATCGTAAGGAGATGCAGTCCCATGGTTGCCGGTAACCGAAAATTAGTTCATACGCCATTTGTTCCCGCAGGATACTGGTGCCCATGTGCACCATAGATTTGGGATCCGGTTAAAGCGCCGGACATTCGCTTTTCGTCCTCTCATTTTCGTAAACAACAGCCCCGCCACGAGAAGGCAGAGTAGGACTTCCCTGGCAGAGGCTGTATACGCGCGGCCGTGTGAGAGTATTTCGAGAGGGAGGGTGAACCCACCCCACTCTCGGCCATACCAGGGCATTTGGGGGCGAGCTCCGATGAGTTGTAAGGAGCCTGAAGAAACCCAGTGCTTATAAGCGGGACGTTTCGCGAAACTGCAAGCGGCTTTACTCGCCATTTTCATGGCGTCATGCAGTTGCAACGAATGCTTATCTATCCTTCTCGATAGGTTGATAGCTAACCCCGAACCTAACTCGATTTACTATTTAATTGCAACTGAAGATGCAACCAGTTAGGTGACATCGATCCATTTAAGTTATGCTTATTTATTTAAGAACATAAGCTGGTTCAAGCAGGCATCAAATGCATATGCGTCACACAAATCGTTCGATATGTGTGGTGGCAGAAGTACTGCCTGGGTGCCCGAACCGAAGCACTTGATCTTCTTAGGGAGCCACTTCACAAGCCTTGTCATAGAGGTCTAATCCACGAGGCAGTGGAGCAACGTTAGGAGCTGGAGTCCCATTGGTAGCTGGTGCCTAACAACAAGTTCATACATCCTTTGTTATCTTAGGATCATGGGTGCATACGAATGTTCTGGAAGCTTCTTTACCTGTCTCCTAGTAGTGACTGGCCCATTTTTTAACCAGTTAACGTGCCCCAACTATCGTCTATAGAGCATGCATTAATCTAATCTATGATCTGTTAACTGATGGGCAATGCTTCGAAGTTACACCTGTGATTAAATACCAGTGACCTACAAATATGCTGTTTTACAAGGTTACGTTTCTCACCTGTAACGTAAAAAAAACCAACTACTCAGTATACTCGTCCCTTAGTAGACAAACATATGAGCTACACTACGAGTAACCCATGTAGGTAAATGGTAACCGAGATTTTGTCTGACCAATCCACCAGGGGTGATAAGGCTTCTAAGAAAAGTGATCGACATTTCCAACTTCACTCCCATCATTACTTTGGACGTTAATGTAGACCATTACTAAAGCTTATCCTAAACATCCTTGCGTTGTTGCTCAAAGTGATCGGAAGATTGCATTTCACCAGCGTCTTCTAACAACTATCTCATCTACGTATTTGAAGTCAACAAGTGATTCCTCTGGTAGATCGGTTATTAAAGAGTTAGCGTTATCGCCTAAAAAATGTCTGTGGTGAAGTTGAACAATATGCCATTTAGACTTTTGGAGGTTAACAAGCAACTGAAGAGTAGCTTAAAGGCAGTTGATCTAGTCCTTTAAGTTTTTAATCTCCCGTCCCGACAACTTTTCTGAAAGTGGATCATTTTCTCATCTTCACGCAAGTCCCGCTAATGCTTAACGTTGTTTCTTTGCTGCCTAAAAGTGTCGTAAGCCTCAGTTTATTTCCAGTCGACCTGCATACTTGGTGGTCCAATCACAACCGCTATTATCTTTGATTTTGTTCTGGTTAGAGTCAGGGTCGTATATATAAGATACGATTAAACAACAATGTGTATCTCTATATTTTAGAGTTCTTATAACTTCGTTCGTTCGAAGTATGCAAGCGACTGTAACTCTGATTGAAAGTGCTTTTTCTATTTATGTAGGACCTCGAGAACCGCTCTGATCGCATGCTTATAACTCACCTCAGTATTTTGACTAACAAGCTCGAAGAACGGAGTTGCATCCCCTTAATAATCACACACTTTTGGTTAGCGTTCCTCATCTTCGTTGTGTAGAACTTTTCATAACGTCTAAATAGCTTTTCATCATTCTTGTAACCCATCAGAATAACTTCCGGTTTATAAGTTCGCCTTTGGTCTCATTTTGACAGTATCCATTTCCAGTGTACAGTTGATTAGACAATACTTGGCTACCTAAACATAGAAGTCGTCTATATGCCTCTAATTGTTCATAAAAAATGACCTGGCTTTTTAACTAGTCGTGTTCCTGTGTTTATTAGGTTTCGGTCATTTTCAATTCTAGTCTCTGGTTCAGCATCAGTCGTGATTTTTCGCTTCTGAATGACCTAAAGTATCTCAGTCACTGAGAGGATAAAAACAAACACGTGACAACTACACCGGGTAGATAGACACAAGGTTCACTTCTATGTAAAAACCTTGATTCTAAACTAACTGTACTTAAACTCCAGTATCTCAGAGGGACAAATGATGTACAAACCTATTCCAATCAACGGCCCATACGAGAAAAGACTTCTCAGTGTTGATCCAAAACATTGTGACTTACTCGCATAGATGAAATATATTTGAGGACATGAGTCGCTAGGAAACGTTTGCTTTGGTTAAGCTGTCTTGATTGCATCATAGTCTTCACAAATAAAATTCACCAATAGCTCATACTAATACCTCTCTTGGTATATGGATAATCACAAATCTCATTTTGCTACAAAATGGTCATTTTATACCACATATATGTGTGCTGTTCTATTTCCGCTTGCAATATTTTTCATTTCGACCTCAGCAACTAGTACCTATTAAAATTATTATGCTACACGAATGGTCTTAATTCGTTAAGTGGTCAATTTTTAAGCATCTTCGCTGAACGCAATATCTTACGCAGCAGTTATGAAACCATAGTTACTTCTATTAACGTCCACGCCTTGATGTAGGTCTAACAAGAGACAAGTTTGGTTAAAGCTCTCATATCCCTCGTTACTTACTGTTTAGTGTTCAGTTGCTTGTTTCCTTAATCTCAGTTAAATTTTTCTCATTTGTCCATCGACTCGGGAAGTTTTACAGTCATGTATCTGTCGCTGGTAACTTGGGACATTAAACCTTCGTCTTATGCAATTAATTTACCCAAAACTGTTTTTCGTTTGACTGTTCTAACTCAAAGTTGTCATTAATCCACATCTCATACTCACCACTCACATTTAGTTCTATCCACAGACAGCGTAGCTGTTATATATGTTTTAATATATTTCTATGGTGTTTATAAACGTCTGCATTTTTACAGACCCACCTTTTGACTTTTTCATAGAGCAACTGTTTCGAGTACATTTTCTTCCACCACACGTACATTGGCGTGTTAATAATGCGAATAAAACTTGTATTATTCAGGTCACATTTGGTTTAATCTCTTATTTAACTTCCCCAAATTTGTCTACAAAGAATTCAGTTATCTTTGATTCATTTCCGTTTAGTTACCACCAACCAATATTTAAATCGTTTAACCTGACTTATGATATCTTTTTGTCGTAGGTATGGAACATACAGATGCAGTTAACAAAGACAACAGTACTACTATGACTTTCCATTCAAATACTGATGTCAATCCTGGGAATTATGTTACTGATTTTGATAATCGAGTTGAATGTTCATTTTGCTGTGGCGAAAATGCAGAGTCCGAATCTGGTCAGCGGTCTTGTCAACATTGGACTCAGGTGCGTCCATCTAACACAAGGCAAGCACAAAAAAAGAAACTCAGAGGACTTCAAAACGGCCATCATGATCCTTCTCGTTATACCAATAGTCGAAATACAAAAGAAAATACAGACATACAACGTCCCATCATTAACGGTAATTCAATTGATGGACAAAGTATGCGTAATCCAAGTGATACTAATACTTCAAATTCAGCGGCTTCACGCTTTAAATATGATAGATCTTTGCATTCAAGCAACAAAAATGCACCAACATCTAACACAGAACAAACTAAACCTGTAGCATCTAATTCATCTTCTCCAGCTCCATCTGTTTCTTCGGATCTCCCAAATGGACATGACTTTAGTGATAGTAGGACATTCCCTCGATATGCACATAAATCGTCACGTTCATTTAGATCATCTACTCAAGCCAACGAGTCAGACGATCTCAACAGTCAGCGTTCAAACGCTTCACCCGTTACTGTTGGTGGAGCTAACACGAGAACCCGGGCTTCAGTGAGTCGGTATAATGTAAATATGTCACCCCAGTCTGGGGCAATCCCTAATGCATATCAAAATGGTCCTTTTGATCAGTGGCGACGTCCTAATAATAATGGCAGTTTGCGAAGATCACATCAACAGCATTTCGTACCTCGTAATACCAGTCAGTTTCACCGTTATAATGGACCGGCAGCTCACCCTGGTCGACCTCATCAGAACAATTTCTCACGGAATCGCATTTCAGGCTCTGGAATGGGAGATTCACCTCCCGTACAAGCAAACGACTCACCTAATCCTGTTCTTAATGAATATAATTCACAACCTGATTCAGTCCGAGAAGATCTAAAAAAACCACAGACATCTTGGGCAACTGTTGCAGTGGGTGTCCAATGTGAACAGAAACTCTATACACCTAAAGATAATTCACGAGACCAACTAGTTAGTTTCCTCCTGGAACAGTGGCGCCGTTTCGACCGAAAATCGACCTAATGCACAAATTAACACGAAACGTATTTTTTAAGTATCCCCTTTTTCACCTATGGTATCATCTGGTATTGTTTTGTACTGGGTGGGATGTTACATTCTTTCTTCCTCTCTTTATATATATATATCCCACGAATTTTTATACGACACGCTTAATGTCGGAGAAATAAAGTTTATGTAAAAATGAACCTTTCATAGATTTATTTTAAGGTTTTCGTTTATGGCGCTTGATTTCTTCCTGCTATTAACTTAACTTCTTAAACCGAAATGCAAGTTATTTTGAAAAAGAACTCAAGATTCAAGTCACATTCCTTATAATCTATTATTTATTTATTATCTACTACTTACCTATTGTATAACTACTAAGGAAAGTGGAGTCGGGACTGTTTCCAGGATGTCGAATGAATTCTCCTCTCTATGTTTTTCAAATACTTTGTCCCAGTACTCATATTGGTTTTCTTTACTGCTTTATAGATATTGCATGGTTAAGCGCGTTGTTTCCTTCTAAACCATCACTATTACCATCATCCCCAGATATTACTTGTTTGATATATTGATCTTTAATTTATATTGTTCAAAAGTAAACATTTCAAATACACTTCTAAATAAGGCAACTTTTTCTCAGTTCTGTTCATCTAAACAGTTTAAACTTTGTATCATTTTTTTCCGCATCATTTCATTTCATTATGAATCTATTTATACTGTAATTTCATGAGTAAAATGCGTGTACCAGTTTAATTGTATTCTTTTTGGGAAAGAAGTTCTTTTATTTTGTTAGTAACATTAAAATGTTTTTGGGGTACAGAATTATGTTTATTATTGCAACCACTATGGCTTCACTTACATTTTATTTTCCATTTTAAAGCTATATTTATTGAACATACATACCTCTTCTATCCCCTTTTACCTTTATCGTTTACTGTAAGCAGATATGTTCATTTTGAAACATTCAGATATTTGGATAACTGGTTTGTCTTCCATATCTTTTATAATTAAATGGTCTAAATGTTTAAAGGGATTTATGCAAGAATGAATTTATTAGATTTGTTAAAATGGACTTGTAACAATTATTTACCTAGACTAACCTAGTTATGTTCAGTTATGTATGGAACTTCTAATTTCACAGTCTTACGTGTTATGTTAACACTCAAATAATACAATTTCAGTATGAACTGTATTTCCTGCTTAGAACTGTTTGCTAACGAAGCAATATTGAGCACTGAAAGTGATTTCCTTCGCCGTAATTATCATTGTTACGACATTAAAACAACAAAATAGTTTTCAACTTGATGGAGCATGATTATGTTTTATTTACGAAAGATGGTATACACATATTTAGACGTTTCTCAACGTTGTTCTTGTGATTCTTCAATGTTTTGACAACGGTCACACACAAATTCAGTAGTTTCGCTTTCTGTGTGCTGTTTTTACTGATCGTAGTGTTTGGGTCAACCACTCATGAAACTGTGGTTAAGACGTTCGACTTTCAGGCTTGAAATCGTATGTTCAAACTCCTCATCGCCTAAGTTGATTTGGGCGACTGGGTAGTCCCATTAGCCCTCATATCTAGAATATGACTCATACCTAAGTGCGTGGTAAATGAGTTAATTATTATTGTGTACTGTACTCATAAAACTTGAATATTTCAAACGGAAATTATTCGATAGTGAAAATAAAAACACAAAATTTCCACTTAGAACTTTCAATTGGTTGAAATACAAGCTAGTAGCTAAAGCTTTGATGCTTTTGTCTACCAAAAGGTATAAGAACGAGACGTGTTCATGTTTGTTTTTATTAGATGATGACTTACTGAATGCCTCCTAAAATTCAACAACTTCATGGTTTAGAAAGGCGTAGTTACTAACTATGGTTTTAGAGTTTGATGTGAACTTTATTGGATAGCGATGAAACTAATTGTTTTGGGTGGTGGGTTTTCAATTTGAGGGAGATCATTCATATTACTAAAATGTTACTCTTTGATATGAACTATCCAACTCAAAATCCTAAAGATTTTATCGACTCGATGATCAAATTGCTTGTAATGGTAGTGCTAATACCAGTGTGAACTATTCTTTTGGGACTTAGTAAACTCTGTCTGGTGATTATCATCCTCTTTACTTTGACAACTATATGTACCTGACCAGCACTAACTTCAGACATGATATCCACCCAACAACATCATCAGTGATTATCGGTTGGGAGTGATGAAAGATACTAAATCTGTATCTGACCATTCGACGTTGAGGAATATGAGAGCATGGCAAGTTTTTCAAATGAAGAAATAAGCTTGCCAAGTTCTTATTTCAATAGTTCTCATTCGGATGTTGCATGCTAAAGTCGGTCTGCTGTAGATTGTGTGCAAAACAACAGGCTGTAGATCAGTTGAAGCCAAGGTAGCTTAAGCACATTGATTAGCCGTTTACGTTGATAACCGCGAGTAGTGGTTGTGGAAATATCCTTAAATTTGTGAAGAGCTCGTTAAAGGACACTAATAAATGCGGTGGCTAATAGAGGAGTTAATTGACTGGTAAAACCAGAAGTAGGGGCTGTAAAAGTTCCAACTAACTCCCTAAGGTAAAATTATGGTCCCATTAGATAAGTAAGCCAACCTTTAGTTGAAGTTAATCTCATGATATTGGAACAAAGCAAAAATGAATAAGATTTGCAGAGTCATATGATGTGTTGTAAGAATTTTGATCTCAGAATCCTAAGTTGGGTCATTAGAGGTTATTACCTAGTTTATCTAGAGTACACAAACCGTAGGTAATCTGCTTTCATAAGTCATCGGTCATTCAAAAATACGAATTAATTATATCCTCTTCGTTAAGACTGGGTCTTTGTACCTTGTAACCGTTTCTCTCCAGCCTTAAAGATTCACAAGTAAAGATAATTGTTTACTAACAACTCAGGGATTATTCCCCTACTCAAATATTGTTAGGCTGATCTAGATTATGCAGATGAAATAATATTATTAGTTAGAAAGATGAGGTCTTCCTATTTTTCACGTTCGTTTTCCACAAATGGAGTGGTGAAACCATTGTAATAGCATCGACACATGTACGGTGGCTGAGTCACTTATTACACCAGCTCACTAACTATTAGTAACAGCAGTGCAGGGTAAGATCGGATCAGGCTGAAGGGACACTAAGTGCAACAAGGCAAAAGTATGATGTCCCATAAACCTGAAATTCAGTCTGGATTCTTCAGATTTAGGTGTTTCATTCTTTCCACACTGAAGTACGGGAACCTCGTGCAGTGTTTTATACCAACCTCGTTTAATATTTCACTGCTCAAATAATTCTAATTTTATGTTTTAAACTTTCCGAAGTTTCAACCCACAAATTTTAAACTGGACAATTTCATCGGTGATATTCGTAATCTTGGTAATACTTTTTTTATTCAGAGGAGCTCGAATTTGTTTTTGACCTCATCTTAAGAAGAGGAGGTGGCTGAATGATGTCTTAATTTTGGCAGCGGAGATCTCGTTTGGTCCAATTTTCCTTTGAATGAATCAACAGAAGAAGCTCCAGTCACATATTCTGTTAGAGCTTCACCTGTTTACAGATCTATTGGAAAGTCGATGTCTCTGTAAACTCTTTGTCTTCGACGACGGGTAGAATGATGCGAGACTACTACTAAGTAACTTGAAAGCCATGATTAGATCCTTTTTAATCCTTCTGTATGACGACAGGAATAGGTTTAATTTAACCGGTTGCAGCAACTTTGAAGTTACAAGATTCAGCCTGGTTTAGGGTGCTTTGACCATTTTCTAACAGTTCAGTATCTTTTTTTCAAACATTGGCTGGTTGATTGAATGTTATATTCAAGGTAGTGAACCGCCATCAACTGAGGTGGTTAGGACACGTTATGTATCCCCAATCACCGCCTATCTCGATGGGCGGTGTTTTCTAGTGTAGGACGTGGTTAGAAGATAGCTAGGGGTGGTTAAGTCAAAACATGGCGTCAGTCCATGAAGTCAATAATAATTGGACTGAGCCATGTTAATGGGTGTAGACTACCTGGTTGGGGTCCGCATGGTTATCATAGCCGATGCTTAGAGACTTCGAATGACATAGCTCAAAACCGTTACAAAGGTGCAGATTCACTCATTCTTTGTCTTCCCACAAATTCTGAGTTCCTCATAACGTTTTTTTGTATTTTTATTTCACTAATTTATATTTTCTCGAATCGTATTCTCAGTGCCCTCAATCTCCCCTGTTCTGAGATTTGGTCTGATGATTTCACCACTCAGTGCTAACTGGGATATGGTAACCTTAACCAATGTATATACGTCCGAGGTTCTACTAATTTTAAATAACTAAGACTGTGATTTCGGTTTTTAGCAATATCATCTATTATTTACAAGATACATTGAATAACTCTACTCGAACTCTCCAATATTAATCAAATTTTAATTTAAGAATCTGGAATTTTTATGCATCTGTTAGATGTAGGACGAATAGTTTCAACTCCATTTAAACATGAAAGCTAATTAACCAAATAGATTATTTATTTCTGCAATAAAAAATGTTTTAGGTAGGTGACTATTGAGATTTATGAAATGAGGCACATTGTAATAACATGACTAGTGAAGTTTGAATCATAAAGTGTTTATGACTACACCGTTTGACCTATTTTTCCGAATATTGATTTTGATAAGTGAGAATTTGTGAGACTTATTTCATTTACGCCTTTTACTTAGGCTGCAGACCAAAAATCTCCAAGTGACTCTATCCTCCATTTTCCCTCCCAGCTGTTGGCGCGCAGTATCTGTGATCTCAATGTCTCACTTCAATTCCTGACACATTGTGTTTCCTGGTGTTCGTCCTTTTCTTCTGGCTTTAGAATATGAAGTTAGGGCTTGCTTTTGTTGGTTTCCGTAACATGTGTCCTATCAACTCCGAGTGTCTATCCTTAATTTCCTCAGCTAGTTTCTTGTCTGCCACAGTCGTTTACGGCTTATGTTCTCTAGTCGTTGGTCTGGAGTATCTTGTGTGGGCAGTTGTCTATGAATACTTGTACTTTTTTGACGATATTGTCGGTAAATCTCCAAGTTTTAGTTTTGTGCGATAACCTTTTTAACATTAGAGTTGGAATTCTGACTGTAGTACTGATTGACATTTGTTTTGAGTTCCAGATGTTCTTCAGTTGTATGAATGCTCTCCTTGAATAAGCAATCTGTGCCTTCACGTCTGTATAATATTCTCCTTGTTTTTTAATGTTACTGCCCAAGTAAATGAAGGCTTCTACCTCTTCCAGAGCTTCGCCGTCGAGTGTGACTT